CCTCTCTGCTCCTATGATGCTGCTTGGCCTGCTGTGTTCATCCAGCCCTGCATCTTGTTGTCTCGGATTCTCCAGCATCTGCAGTTCCTACTATCTCTACTTAATGCTTTCATGTGTCTTTGGTAAGTCATGTGACTCTTAACTGGAATTGGAATTGCTTTATTCCTGCAATGTGTCTACTCTATTGTGTTTCTCCATTTTAGAACTGATCAGGCATAAACGTCTGCCAAGTGGCTTTTGACATTTACCTACTGCTTATTCTGATGGGAAACTTTCAGGAACTGAGCCAAATCAATAAAAATGAGTAAAATTCCCCTTTGTACATTGCATTTAGCAGCAATAATTTTTTGAGGCTGGAATCTCTAGGGGCCTTTTTATTTCAGAGACGTTTGTTCAGTCTCTGATACCAACTGATTGTTCGTTAAGTGAACAGAGTGAGTTGAATGGAAATTATTACAGCTGATAAATAATGGAATAATTTATACATGCTTTAAATGTTTTATTTTTTTCAAATGAGCTGCAGTTCTGTCGTCTTTGCAGCATTCATCTTTGCTGTATAGGAAAACATGGAAAAACCACTTTAGCTGTTCTGGCCTGTGCAATAAAATGTTCCAATTTTTGAAAAGTTGCAGTTCTATTTATTATTGCATACTATGCAAACTTGAAGCTTAAATATTGTCTGTCCCCACAAGAACTACAGAATCAGAGTCATACAGGGCAGAAACAGACCCTTCGGTCCCACCAGTCCATAATCCCAAACTAAACTAGTCCCACCTGCCTGTGCTTGGCCCCTATCCCTCCAAACATTTATTAATTATTTAAATGTCTTTTAAACATTGTAACTGTACCCAAATCCACCACTTCCTCTGGAAGTTCATGCCACACACAAACCACTTCTTTTTAAAAAATGCCCTCCCCATGTCTTTTTTTAATTCCTTCTCCTCTCACCTTAAAAAATATGTCCCCTAGTCTTGAAATCTCCAATCCTAGGGAAAAGATATCTGCTATTCACCTTATCTATACCACTTATGCTTTTATAAATCTGGACAAAGTTGCCTAAACTCCAAGGTGATAGACAAACCAACAATTGCTGTCAATCCTTGGACTGACCCCTCCTTTACTAGTTTTTTTTTTCTCAAAATATTTTGCTTGCTTACTGTGATTATCCTCCGTTATGATAAGTAGACCTATGAGTGAAACCAGCCTCTTGTGGAAAAAAAATTGAAACGAGAAAGATACAGCAAGGTTTTCTTTTATTTTTCCGATGTTACTTTTAGCTTTAGAGTGCAGCATGCTCAATAATTTTGGTAATTTTCCTGATGTCAAATTATCCACTTATTACTAGATCAAAGTTGCATTCAGGATTTCTACAAATCAGGCAGTAAACAATGTTTTGATGTTTTCAATCATAGAATCCCTACAGTGTAAAAACAGACCCTCCGGCCCAACAAGTCCACACCGAACCTCAGAACATCCCACCCAGACTCATCCCCCTATAACCCACCTAATTTACACATCCCTATGGGCAATTTAGCATGGCCAATCCACCTAACCTGCACATCTTTGGACTGTGGGAGGAAACTGGAGCACCCGGAGGGAACCCACGCAGACACGAGAATATGCAAACTCCACACAGACAGTCACCTGAGGCTGAGAATCGAACCTGGGTCCCTGAAGCTGTGAGGTAGCAGTGCTAACCACTGAGCCACTGTGCCACCCCTTTTGACATTTTTATTATCGAGCTGAGCTATCTGTTTTTATTTGATGTTCACCCCCCTTAAAGGGGTAATCTTCGCTGCTGTATTATAGTAAATCTGTGAGCTGTGTCACTTTGGAGGATGTGTGTGTGTAGTGCTTTTGTTAAGTTTGTTTTTAGGACTAGGGTTCAGGCCTTTAAGATTGCCACTTAGGCCACATCCCCTATTTGAAAGAAAACATATTTAAAGGGGCGTCGCACCATTAACACTTATTTGGAGCTCGGTGGCAATTATTGCTGCAAAACTTTGGCTGCCAACCCCATTAGGGGTCAGAAGCCATATTTTGGGAAACCATGTGCTGAGTACATGTGTGTTAATTTTAATTGCCTTTTTTATTCCTGAATGTCATTCATTTCTCTGCCTGATTTACTGTCTAACATTTATTGTTTAATTTAAAAACTGGTTGATTTGTTTACGCCACCACTTGAACAGGTGATACACCACATAAAATGGTAGCAAACCATTCACATCCATATGAATTAACTGTTAGGTTGGTGGTACTGTAGGAAATTCAGCTCTGGGACTGTATGGAGAGGTCAGGAAAGACCATCCTGCCAGAGCTCGTGCTACTCAATAATTCATACTGGGAATATATACACAAACATATCTGTTGAGAATAGAATCCAGCTGACTGGCTGCAATACTTTTCAAGGTCAAATAAATTTTAAAAATTCACATGTGAAGATATAATTACCTTTAGAAAGCTGCGCGAGCACATTGATCCAGTCCTTCACAATACGTTGATGATATTTAGATTCTCCCACTTCCTGCCTCTTCAATATTTTGCAGCCTAAGGTTGATTTTATATTTTGGAAATTCACTACTTACTTTAGGGAATATAATTTTTTTCATAAGTGCAGGTAATCAAATCTGAGGTAAAGAATTTAAAAGAAAAGATTTGCATTTAATTCTTTTTGCCTAGTGTGCACTGTGTAAATCTCATGATTACTATGATGATTCAACAAGTTACACATATTGAATTTTAGTTTTGGCACCAGTGCTCATAAACCCTGTAGACTCTGGATAAGGTGTCATGCACTAGTGATGTAATACATGTTTTGTTTCCAAGTCAACATTCTGGACATTTGTGACTTTTAAATATTGTTTCATTTCTTTGATTTTTAATGTTAATTTAGTTGTAAAGTATTTTAGATTTTATTTAAAAGCTATTTTTTTCAGTTTATGCCAAAACTGATGAATTACTTCAATTTGCATCTCACATCCAGTCTACTTGAGAATACAAAGAGAATAAAACCTTACAGCTGTCTCACTAGCCTATCATTTTTATCTTTATTGTCCTTGTCTTCATCCTGCTCAATACAAGACTTTACCAGGTAACCTTCAGGTTGGAGGGGAGTGCTGAAAAACTGGATCTTTTTCAAAAAAAGTGTTTCTCAATATTGAATCATATTTGAAAAAGGAGTATATCTAAGAAACAAATGCTGAACAGAGTACGGATTGAGTTTATAGTTTGGAATAATTTATTCAGTTTCTAGGAAACGATTTGCCTCAGGCATGTGGTAAATTGCTTGTGAAATTGATTTACTCTTGAGCAGATCAACAGTACAGTAGAGGAGAGAACTTGTACCTGCATGCAGTTGTTAGTCTGATGGCTGTTGTGTAAAAGACTGTCCAGGCACACAGTTGGAGATCAGGAAAGAACATTTTATGTTTGTGATGAAACAGCCACAATGAATTTTCAATTCCTGGCAGGCCATGGACTTTCTTGTTGAGGAAATTACTAAACCAGGAATTAAGTCACCATGATGTCTCTCGTGAAGAAAAGTGACTGTATTCTGCAGTTCTCACAAAAAAAGAAGCCAAAGCAGAACTGCAAAATAGAAAGCAGAACAAACAGAAATTTAGATTAGAAGTCAGAAAAATATTTAAGATTTTATACAAATGGATGTCAACTACTTGCATTGTTGAGGTCCATTGTGATATGAAAGAAGTGATAACAAGGGCCCTTAATTTAGAGTTTAAAGCATTTTGTATGTTAGTGGCTTCCTAGAATATTTAACTTTATTTAATGTTATTTTAAAAGTTGGCAGTAGAGTGACAAATGAAAAGTAGTCCTGTCTGCCGTGCAAGCTGTTCACTGATGATTCCAGCAACAACAGGAAGTACGTGGTTTCACTAAGGTAGTGTGCAAGCATTTGTGGGCTGAAATAGGAAGACAGCCTTGTTCTACAGAAGTCGTCATCTTGAAAATTCATATGGAAAACGCCTTTTTTTCCAAAGAAAAGCCTCATGCAAGCTCAGGACCACAAATCAACAGCTACCAAGCTGCTTAACTTACACTTTAAAAACTTTATTGTTGTGTGCTGAAGGAAAAGAGAACCAGGAGTTTACCGGAACACTGGAATTAGCACTTGACTGATTAATCTGTGATGAATCAAACAGTAAGAGCACTCTGGTAAATATACTGTTCTATTAACCATGTTTGTCACTTCAGCTGAAAACTTCAAGAAGTAAAATGAGGACATTTTCGCAGGACAGCAGTAATTGAACAATTCAGCTACGAGTTTTGGTGATCTGCATTGGACGAAAGAAAACATATTTCATCCGGTAGAAGGCACATGACAGCAGCCTTAACGGTCATACTTCCTGTATCTTGCTCTTTTCATGTTGAAATTGTTATTGAAATGAGGATTTGTCTTCATGTAGCAGTAATAAAACATCAGTTCAAACTTAAATGTTCAAATCAGTAAAGAGGTGATTTTTTGTAAGAATTAGTAGCCAGAGGGATATGTTTGAAAAGATTACAAAAGACTAATGGCAATAGTGCCTCATCACTGAAAAGGTGTGGTGGATCACTGTAGCAACTTTTGTCACGGCTGTAATTGGACCTGTTTTGATTTTTAACTTGTGTGAGGAAACAGTCAGAAAACATCAATGAGAAGCTTGACGCTATTTGAAATCAGCAAATGAATCCGTAAACTACAATTCAAGGACAGCACAAGGGAACAACTTTACTATTAAGGAGCTTGGAGTTTAATTTTCTGAAAATGAAAGGGTTTTGTCGCATATGTGGCAGTGATCTACAAGGAAATCAGCGTCGTTGGATTTTCCACACCTCTGGCAAAAGAAGACTGCAGATTGTTCTTTCTTATGTATTGGGTTATATAATTAACCGTGATGGCCAAGGAGAGTTCTTATGTAGTAAATGTGCCTTCATGTTGGAAGAGGTATTGAAATATGACATTGTTACCGCTCGTGTTAAGACTGTTGCCGGTGAGAGACTGCAGATGTTGACAGCAGAGAAAGAACAACTAATTCAATGTATTGTGCATTTGTACTTTCAGTGCAATGAAAAAACTAAAACTTACCATTATAAAGAGCATATCTCTACGCAGTGTGTGAATCAATGTTCCTCACAATATCGCATGCTTCTACAAGATGAATCTTTTTTATCTGAATTTTGGATGCCAGAAATAAGCAGTAAGAAAAATTTGCACTGCTCAAAATGCTGGCGTGCTTTCAGTGGTGGCCACAAGAAGAGAATGTGCCTCTGTTCCGAGTCTGTGCGAGTAGCAGATTTATTTTGTAACTTAGTCTGTTCTACTCCTAGATGGACCAAACGGAGTGGCTTAACAGGAAGTCTACATCAATCCCTGTTAAGCAGTCATTCACAGAGTATGTCCTTTAATTTAGCCCGGAAAAATTCTATGTCAACAGGGAAGCTGCCCCCTCGTGCCCGTTCAAGGCAGTTGGACAATCTGGAAGTTGAATCGATGACGACATTAAATTCAACCAAATTTGATTGGATAACTGATGAAGAATCTGAAAAGGTTCAGTTAAAATCAATGTTTGATTGTATTGCACCAATTGAAAATTATCCCTTAATAAGACAATCAATTGCTAATGCAATTTGGGAAATTAAGCATATTGAATACAAACCAGTGCCTTCCCTGTTAAAAAGTAAGATACCAAAACGTGTGACATTTTCTGCGAGGACTCCTGCATCAGGATGTAGCATTGCAATGGCTTTGCAAGAAACCCATCCTCTTAATGATGGAAGCTTTGCCCAAGAGATGTGGACGTCTCTAGAAGATGATTATGGTTCTTTAAAACGTGAGGTATTAATGTTAAACCTGTCTGACTGTATGTTGAGTTAACCAAAATTTGTATCTTTTAAATGCTGCTGCTGCTACACCTTTACCTTTCCATGTTAAGTGTGGCATATGTGAATGTACCCTGTCCAGTTCCTGTTAGCACTCTGTCAACATTTTAGAAATAAAGACACTTGTATAAACACGTAATGGGAATGTCCAAATCAGCTCTTATCCATTGGGTGTTATGGACCTTTAGTTCCTCTTTGTTCTTTGTTTCCCAATTTCCTCATCTCTTGGGCCTCCTCGACTTCAAGCCCCATTCCTCCGATCAACCCTTCATTCCTAACCTCAAACTAACTGTACCCCAATGGTCTAATCTATCATTTTGTAACTTCTTAAGTCCAGAAGGCTCTTTCATTGTTCTCAGATGACCCCAACTTCCTTCCATGTCCACTTCTGTGTCTCCACTGCTCCTCTGGTCATACTTACTGTGGAAGATTTACACAAGATTAAGCATCTCCCCTTAATTACAATGATTCTTATAGGATCTGGACTGTCCCTGCTGATTGGATAACTGAGTTTCATAGTTTCTAATATGTTAATACTTAAAAGGATATTGTTTGCTTTCTGTAATCCTTTAACAGAACCTGGTTGAGAAAGAGAGGCAACTGGGACAGCTGGAAGTGGAGGCTAAGCAGCTAAAGGCTGATCTTGAGAATGCTGAAGCTACTATTCATGCTCTGCAAGAAAAGCTGAAGAAAGCAGATGCTGCAAAAAAGGTCCAAATTCAGACCCTATTCTTTTGTGTCAAAGCCTTGAATTATGCATAAAAGCTCCATAGATAAAATTACAAGCAACTGCTTTTGGCTAAAGAACACTGAATTTTTTTGTAACAACAATTTCTGATTATAAGAAATATGCAAATTATTTAGACATTCTTGAAAGTCAAGAACAAAGTTAGCCAAATAATTGTACCTAATCAGACATTAATTACTGACAGGATATCTTTTGGATCATAATATTCATTTTCAGCAAATTTATCTTAATTTTCCATCCCACTAATTTTGCAGATTCTGGAAGAACATGTTAATGAAAAGGAGAATGAACTGGTTGCTGAGAAGCAGAACAGTCTGAAACGAGATAAAACTATTCAAGGATTGACTCTAGCCTTGAAGGCCAAGGATAAAGAGGTAGGTGGCTTCATTGCATTGCAATTTTCTTCTACTTGCTTTGGAGGTGGAAATGGAATCTAACTTATCGTATTATCGTATATTTATGGTTACGTTATATGCACTTTTTCTCACTTTGCCCTCTTAAAATATTCCAACAGGTAGATGAGCTTTGTCATGAAATTGAAGATCGAGACAATGCTCTGGTGAAAGCAAGAGATTCCATACACAAAGCACAATTGCAGAAATTTCAGGTAAAAGGCAAAATTGCTTAATTTTTGTAGTAGTCTTACCATTAGGAGTTTTGATGAATGAATGAATTTCTCTGTACATAACTGTAATGTTGAATGTTTTAATCCTTAGGGAGCAGAAGAATATCAAAGTCTCATGACTGAGAAAGAAACTGAACTTGCAGAGCTTCGTGCAGATCGCAAGGCAAGATTAATGGAGATCCAGAAATTGCAAAGAGCATTGAACAGGAAAGAGCAGGAGCTGAATGACTTAACTGAAGCAAAGGCTCAGCTGGAAGAAGAGGTCGAAGCACTGCATCTTCAAAAAGCAAAGGATGACAAGACGGTTAATGTTAGTCCCCATTCCCTACCTCTTTATCTGTTTATAATATGCTCTTATGGCAACAAGAAAAGAATTTGATCACTTCTTATTTCATTTCTCAAACATCCAAAAATGCTTCATATACAATGCATTACTTTTGAAATACAATCCCTGTTGTGTGAATATAGAGAATTGCTTTTGAAATAATAATCCAGCTTTCTATAGCTAAGGGACTTTAAAATTAGTGATAGCTTTTTTTTTTATACCTCATATCCAGAATCCATTAATAAAGCAAACCAGGGTCATATTCTTGTGTGTCACCTATGTGAAACAACAAATGAAAATCTAGCCTTTAGATAAATATACATTGATGTTTTTTGAAAGGGACATCAATGAATGAGTATGGCCTTTTACAAATCCATGCTGATGAACACATGCATTTCTAAGCATTCATTAATGTTCCACATTATAGATTGTTTAAAAAAAAATCAACAGTTGAGGTCATTCTAAGCAGCTTACTGTTTTTCAATTATTTCTTCTCCATTCTTCAATGGGGTGTAATATTTTCTGCCTTCCAATCTTGCACATTATTCCTTTCCAAAGACTTCAAGGAAGTTCTGCTTAGGTAAGTGAACAACTTTTAATTTAAAAATAAATTCTGTTAATCTCCTCCTTTGAAGTTGTAAATAACAAAATTTGGGGGATATTTTCACCAATATGTAAAATTTCTGAAAGCAGCTTTGAGTGGACTCCTATTCCTAAGGTTTACCTACGAGTGAGCTAACAACATGAGGAAGAGAAATTTTGACGTTTCTATATCTTCTATCATCTCTTTTGCCGTCATTATGAAAAGTTAAAGAAAAATACTGCCACGCGTCCACTGCACTAAATATCATGTCCTTTGATTCTGAATGGGGAAGAGAAAGGAAACTTGGGTTCAACAATGAAGTGTCTGGATTCATAATTTCAAAATACAATTATTATTATAAACTTATTTGTTTACTAAATTGAATTAGCATTTACAATATGTAATGTTTTCTCCCTGTTGCTATTTTAGGGGCCTTTTTAAAATGTAACATCAGAGTTCATTTTGAATGCTATTACTGTCGTTTAAGTGAAATATTCACTTGTGTCCCAAATATTTCAAAAATTGGTCTTGAGTTCATAACCGTCTTGCTTTTTGCAGGATATACAAAACCATATCCAGAAACTGGGTGCTGAGTTGACCGAGAAGGAACGTGCAATGGAGCATAAGTACCAAAGTTTACTGATTGAGAACAAGCAGAAATTACAAAGCCAAGAGCTAGTCATTGAACGACTAACAGACAGCTTGAACAACAAAGATAGACTGCTGCAAGTATGGACCAGAAAAGAGCTACTGTAGAAAACGAATAATCTTATTGTCTACACTACTGTTTTTTTTTCAGCTGTGATTATGCATTGATGTAATGAAGTGATGTGAGTTAAATGTTTAAAATAGAGAATTTTTTTATAAAAGTTTGATCTGAAGTATTGCTAATAAGTAATGCATCAGCAAATTTGCTTGAGTTGTATTTGAGCTCAACTGTATTTTGTTACTGAATTAGAAATAAAAGGAAGTCTGTATATTTTGGCATACTAACCCATTGCAATTTTGGAACTAATTCTCGTCTGCCTGTGTGTTAGCAGAACTGAATCTATAGGTACATTTTTGTACCATTGTGGACTATGACATCTAGCTAATTGAATATCATCTTTCAACATGTTGAATAGAATAAACCATGGTTAGAGTTTTAGATGCAGTGCTATTCTGAATCTAGCCAGTAGAATAGAGTAGTTGTTCTTTGGTTGACTACCATACTTCCAGGAAAATCAGTTCATGACACAACTTTTTTTTTCTGATTTGTCTCATTCTCACCAGGAATATAATGGATCTCTACTTATTACTCATTGGAGTTACTTTATTGAGAACTTTTTCAGAGGTCCATGTACCTGTGCACTGTGATGCACACTATTGATGCAACATTCTTTACCCCTACATTTTTTCTACATATTCTCTATTTAAAATCCAATCACTTGCAAATTTATCTTAGGCCTTAAATTTGTAATCTGCACGTGGTGCCCACAATATGATGTACTTGTTTGTGACAAAATTATAATTGGCAGAATTGCAAGAGCTGGAGAGAAAACATCACTGAGCGATATCAGTTGATAAATCTAAAAAGACATCTGACCAAGAACATAAATGAGTCATTCACGGCTAGTGGAGATACATTGCATATTCCATGTTGGGCATAACGTTTTAATTTTAAAACTTTTTCTTTTAGTTGAAAACATACAATTATCTTGGCTGTGAAAATTAGTTAATACTCCTTCATACTGTCCTATTTGTGGTTCAGGATCCAAAAATAAACTAACAGGGATTTGATCTTACAATCTCTTCGCCTTTATCAGGTTCATAAGTGGCTGGCACTAGCCTGTTGAGCTAGAACAAAAGCTTTCTTCAGAGTTATTTGTTGGAAACCTTATCATCAAGATAATGATGTAATTAATTAGTGGCAGATGGTCATTCATTAAGACAGAGTCCCAGCCTGATACCATTTACCTGTGATTGTAAGAAAACAAATGGGCTCTTGTGGTATAATGGTAGTGACCCTACCTTTGAGCCAGCGAGGCTAGGTTCAAGTCTGTGTATCAGAACTGATCAGTTTGATTATGGTCATATTCATTGTGCATACTAATCACTAATTTTTATTTTCTCAAGGATTATATGGAGCTGGCAAAAGGAATTCAGCAAGGAGGGGACCAGAGCCCAAATGGAAAGGATGCTTTGTTAGCTAAACTGCGAGATCGATTAAAAGAGAAAGACCAAGCTCTTGAGGTATTCCATCTTCAGCAAATTAAGCACAGAATAGTAAATAATACATTATAATTAAAATTTATAGAAGCAGTGTATGAATAACATTTCAAAATTGTAATAATTACAAGCACAATTTTTGCAGCCTGCTATTGTACGGTCTAATGCTAAAAATGCAAGACTTTTAACTGCAATCAGCCTTACCCCCACCAGGGGATAGAAGATTCAATCCCTATAATTGATCTTCAGTGTTGCCATCCTAAGGTGGGGAAAACATTAGTTTAGTGAGCATCCTGCACCTGATTACCAGTATGCTGTGAAGCATTATGTGTTGATGTCAAATATCATTCTGACTCTGCTCAGCTACAGCATCAGCACAATAAAATAATCTGTGAACACTTGTTGCATTTGGGAGCTGAGATAAAAAGGCAATTTAAGTAAGGTACTGATGGACATTTGAAACAATGGAACCAAACCCCACTAATGGATGAAAGAAGACTTTTTTCTCATGTCCAACTTTAAAATTGAATTATTAAAACCAAATACTCATCACTTTTGGAATGCACATGACAAAGATGTGTGCAAATGCAATTGGAGACTTGTGTAGCACACTAATATCAAAGTGGACATAATCTAGACAACTGGACCAATGATCTGGCAATGATAATTGATATTACCTTGCTTGCTAGGAAATTTAAATTGAGTTAGTCAGTGAATTTAAAAAGTCTGGAATAAAACTACCAGATGGATGTGAAAATTCAAAAGTCATTGAACTTGAAACGTTAACTCTATTTCTCTCTCCACAGGTGCTTCCAGATGTGCTGAGTTCTCCAGTACTTCCTGTTTTTATTTCAGATCTCCAGCATCTGTACTGCTTTGCTTTTATTTGAGGCGAAGGTTTGTCTCGATCACTAATGTCCTTAAGTCAGTTTGCCATATATGAGATTTACAGATCCTCCATTACCTGCCCTCTAAAGTGCCTTAGCAAGTACGGCTCAAAATACACAGGGCACATGGTTGCATTCCCCTCAAAAGCCCGAAAACTTGGACACTTCCATGATTGGAAAATTCAATCAGAGAATAATTGCCTCCATAAGTAGAATTTACAGAACCAGTAAGACGCTGCTCCTCCAATTGCAGGCTGGCTATCTCTGTTTTCTGCTGATATTCTCTAAAAGCAAGAAAATATTTGTAAAAATCAAGGCTGGCTAGCAGGGGTAGGGTGGGATTACTAGGCTGGAGTCCAAGGTTGTGCGGCTGTGAGACTGGCAAAGTCATGGCTTGGGTAAGTGGGGGGAAATTGAGGTTACAAAGGGAGAAACGAAAGGGCTTGATGTAAATAAAGGGTGAGTTGGTGACAGGATACCAGCCTCTGCGCAGCTATTTTAACTATGAGCTACAGTGGGGCCCACCAGCTCCCACCTCGGCCAGCTACAGCACATTGTCTGGCCCTGTAATTCTATTTACTTAGCTCTTAATTTGATTTTTTAAAAATTTCCTACTGGCCTTTTAGTAATTAATCTGTAAATATTTCCCCATTTACTTTCAATCTGAAAGTAACCTATAATAGTCAAAATAGCAGCTATTACCAACCAATTAACTTACAGTTTTCCTGTGATGTCATTGTCTTTCTTTTGTGCTGGGATCCCAATCTTGGGCTTCAATTTATCCCGTAAATAGGCCGTTACAAACTATGAACCAAACACACAAACAAAAAGCACCCGCTTCCCATCTGTACCAACTTCCCACGCTGCCTACAAATGCCCTGAAATATGTGCTTATTCAGGCTGTGTCTCACTCCGGATGTGATCTCTCCTTCCTGACTGTGTGCAAAGCTTCTCCTTAATCATACTTTACAAGGACATTTCTTGGCTTCTACAAACCCTCCTACTTTTTTGTTCAAACTCTTTTTCTTTCTGTTTCCTTTCTACTCCTCAGGAAGTCCCAGTCAATATTGGGGAAGTTAAAATGACCCATTAAAACACCCCTTTTGTTTTTGTATTTTTCCATGATCTGCTTCTGTATCTGTTCCTGTATCTCCTACTGGCTAACGGGAGGCCGATAGTATACGCCCAGCATAACGATTGCACCTTTCTTCTTCTTACGTTCGACCCATTTGACCTGAGTGGGTGAAGCCCCCAAGATATCCTGTCTTAGTTCAACTATGATATAGTTAGTAATGCAACTCCCCCACCCTTTTTATATCCCTCTCAATCTTGCCTGAAAGATCTCAACATTCAAAGGTTTAACTGCCTGACATGTTCTTCTCTCAATCTGGTTCTCATGTACTAATCCATACTCTAAGCTCATCTGCCTTACCTGTTACACTCATTGCATTGAAATAAATATACTTCAGAGCACCAGTCCCACCAATGTTCACTAACCTGACCCTGCCTGTTCTTAGGATTAGAATTAGAAGTAGACTTTATTGTCATGTGTACTCAAGTACAGAATACAGTGAAAAGTGTACAATGTTGCCACTCATTGGCACCATCTAAGATACAAAAACCAGAATTTAAAAAAAGCAGATATACAGAAAAAAAAGAGCCAAGGAGAAAGGGGAAAGCATCTAAAAATCTTATCTCCATGAGGTAACTTTATCTGCATAAAGCAAGTGGGTCTCCCTCTCAAGTCTCGGATCTTGCTCCTGCCACTGGCCATCGGATCTCGCCACCGTCGGTCCTCAGATGTCACTCCCGCAGCCACAGGCCCTCGAATCTTGCTCCCACCACCACCCCCGGCCATTGGAACCTGCTCCCACTGCTGCCACAGGCCCTTGGAAGTCACTCCTTGAGTCTATTGGTGCTGCTGCTGCCGAATCCTGGAACATACCACTCCCAACTCCTTGTTGCCATTGAGTTCTCGTTCTCTCCGATGCCCTGCCGAAGATGCCACAGAATGCAAAAAGAAAAGAAAAAGAGCATGGAAAAGAAAACAAATGAAAAAGTAGACGGAAGCAGACAAGCCCGAACACTGTGTTGCACCTCTGCCTCCCTATCAGACCTATTTGTCTTAATGTCGATCTTTTCCTCAGTCACTCCACGTGCTGACCTCTGGTTCCACCTCCCTGCTGCATTAGTTTAAACTCTCCCGAGTGGCACTAGCAAACCACTCGCAAGGATATTGGTTCCCCTCTAGGTGAAGTGTAACCCATCCTTCTTGTACAGGGTCCATCTGCCTTGGAAGAGATCCCAGTGATTCAGATATCTGGAGCCCTACTTCCTAGACCAGTTCTTTAGCCACGCATTCATTGCATCTCCAAGCTTTTTACAATCTGAATTACTTGAGTGAATTCACTGTATTAGAGTCAAGCATGCAGTCATTTAGCTATGACCTCATAAGTCCACAACATTTTACAAATGGTGGCTTTTTATTTATAGAGGTATATTTAGTTTTTTTTAAACAAAGAACTTTATTGCTAACCTAGACCTGTTGCCTTTTTGCAGTTAACTACTGTGGCATCTAGGAAAGTTAATGCTTTCCTTGAGTGTTGGGGCTTTGGGTTTAATAGAGGGTTGATTATTATTCAGGGCATTGATGAATTCTTCTAATTCTGCTTTTGTGAGACTCTAAGTATTCTAAATGTCAACACAAATACAGAAGGTGATATGATTATGTAACCCAGTTACTGAGAATGAGAATGGAACCCTTGAAAACCAAAAGTTAGCTTCCTAAAATCCATAAGTAGCCCTCAAGAAAATATGGAAATATTAAATGCTGCTTTTACCATCAATGGCCACAACCCAGGAAAGAATGTTTCCATAAAAGCTAGCATTGATGCTTTTTTTGATTGTACACATTGCTTTGAACATTTAAGTCTGTAACAAAGTGCTGTTTTTGTATTTGTTTAAGGAAATAATTCACTTCCTTGAGGGGACAGACAAAAATTAACATTGTCAGTGGCTTCAGGGAAAATTGGCTTATGAGCTGCTGATTCACTCTGGAGTTGATGTACCATGAGTAGAAGTTCAATCATTACCCAGATTGTTTCAGTGATTGTAACATTTCTGTGCATTTGTTATTTCATTTCTCCTGAAATCTCAAGTTACCAACTTTTTTCCAGCTAGTTCTGGCATTGGCACTGTCTTTTCACAGGTATTGTCAAGAAAGCTAATTAATTGTAAGTCTTTGTTCCTAATTATTTTGTAAAAGGTGTAAAATATATACTGCTTTTGTTTCTCCAAAGCAAGCCCTTGATCAAAAACATGCAGCTGTTGACGAAAAGGAGAATGAAATTCATCGGCTGCACCTAGCTTTGAGAGAAAGAGAACATGATTTGGATCGATTAAAGACTCTTGTTGCCAACAATGAAGAAACCATTAATGTAAGTTTATTCGGAATACAGGTTGAAATTATACAAATATGTTTATATGATATCAAAAGTATTTGATAGTTATTTCCTTTGGGCATGTTATAGAGGCATGAATTGTACTTTGGTGAGGCAAGAAATGATTTCTTAGTAAGTTGATTCTGTCAGTTTGTGAGTACCTCTCTGCACCTTGATAGTTTTTGAGTATTTAAAAGATTGAGGAAAACATTGGCTAGTAAACTTGCCACATTGACTAATATTTTTTGAAAAGAAATTATGTGGAAATTTAAAATTCATATGGAAAACATTCCGGCGCTGGTCATTGAAAAGCAGCAACTGCTGTAGAGAAATCTTAATTGGAGCAAAAACACGCACATGCCAGTGTTGTTTCATTGTTCACAGGACTACTTCCTGTGGAATGAAGCGCAACCACAGGAGAAATTGAAAAATAAAGGGACATTTCATTTTGAACAGAAAGGATTAGCTGAAGTTCCCCAAGACTGCTCTTCATCTACAGTTCAGAACTCTCTTCCAGCTTATTTTTCAGTGGGATACAAAATGGCTATTTTAAAAAGTATGTATTTTGGTTGCATTTCAAGTAATGGAATCCATCCAGTGCAAACAGAGGCCATTGGGCTCATTGAGTGTATACCGATCCTCTGAAGAGCATCCCACCAGACGCCATAACCCCACGTTAACCAGGACAATTTGGCACAGCCAATCCACTAATCTGCACATTTTTGGATTGTGGGATGAAACTGGAGCACCCAGCAGAAACCCACACAAACACTGGGAGAATGTGCAAACTTCACACAGATAGTCATCCGAGGCTGGGATCAAACCCAGGCCCCTGCGCTGTGAGGCAGCAGTGCTAACCACTATGCCTCTGTGCCACCCTCCTATTTGATTATGGATAAAATATTCTGAAGTGTACGGCATTATTGTAGTGATGTCACATGATTGACAATCAAAATTATTTTTTAAGAATGAAGGATTGGAACTTTTTTTACACGTTGTTCTTGGTTTCTCACAAAGTTGACATATGATCTGAGTGTCCTTTTAAGAATAAATTTTAATTATCTGAGCAACATTGCATGACAACATTGATGTACTTTACTTTGAAGTTAGAACATGTTCTGCATTTTTGAGAAAATGAAGAGACCTCAAGAATGCAGATTTTCAGGTCATTTCCTATAACTTTTTGCTGTGGAAACATTATTGTCACCCATCTACTCTTTTGACTGGTCAATTTTCTTTTAAGCGCTTGGATGGGATGATTAAAGAAAAAGATGTGGAGCTACAGCATCTACTGAACACATGCAAGAATTTGCAAAGAGTAAAGCAGGAGCTGGAGGATAGTCGTGCACGCTCTCTCTGTGAGAAGGATGTTGTTATTTCACAGCTGCAGCAGTCTCTAAAAAACAAGACTGAAAATTTAGAGGTAACTAGTCTATGTACAAAATGGAAGATCCTTGAAATTAGAATATGAACAGGCGTTTGTGCTACACAAATCCTGTTTAATATTGTACAAATAAGTAATATATCAGAGGAGTATAAGCAGGCTGAATATGTTGCTGTATTATTCTTTGTGTGAATTTATATCCCAGTTTTGATAATAAACCTTTTTATATTTGAATATTAAATCCAGTTTTCAAATAAATATGTCAATGTATATGTAAATATAAAACAGTTATTTTCATCTCGTTTTATTACATTCCTAGGAATTACATACTTCACAATAAGCCCATTGGCTATTTTAGTTGCTTTTTAAGCTAATTACCTATCAGTGCATTTAATGAATGACCTTTTAAATGGAATACATAATAATATATTTTTCTGATCCAGGATTTGACAAAGTCTCTGTTGAACCAGTCTCAACGTGACACAAAAGATGTAGCAGAGCAGTTGAGTCGGTGCTTAAAGACAAAGGAGAAGATGCTGGAGGATGCTTGGGCAGAAAAAAAACAGCTGAGTGCAGAGCATGAGAAGGAGATTGACGAACTATTGAAAGCAATTAACAGCAAGGATCAACTTCTTAAAGTACGTAGTTCCAGGAAGCAGATATAAAATGCCCTCGTAAGCTTCATGCTTTAAATGGTTCTTTGTTGCTTGCCCGAATATAATGCCTTTTATTGTCCAATTGCTTGATGCATTTGAATGCTCTTTAGGTGTATTGATTCTGAAATAATTGGAACAAATTCATGCTGCTGTGAAACATTACGCTTCTAAATATTCCAGTGGCCAGAGAGAGTCTGAGTTGCATGTCAGGACCACGCAGAGTCTCAGACATAAGACTCTGGGTGAATTGTTCAGAAAATCAAAGATTCCAGTGGGCAATTCACCTGTAGTTAGAACTGTCTGAAAGAGTCCGTTAAAATTGGAGAATTCAGATCATTCCAATGCAGTTACCCAGGAAATATTAGAGGATTAAAAACTTACTGTTGCAGAACTATTAAACTAAAGGACTGACTGACTGTGTTTACCCTTCCAATTAGACCACACTTCCGCACCCTCACTACCACATTCACACCCGGACACCTGACCGGCACCAAAAATAATCCCCCCCATCCCCAAGGAGTTATATAATCTGACACCTTGTGAGAGAAACAGCTGCTCTTTTAGAACCAATGCGCAGTGTTAACGTAGGCCCAGAATGACTTCCTGTGTCCTTGCATTAGTCAAGAAGAAGAGGTGGACACGAGCCTATTGAAGATCATCAACAGTGACTCAAAAGGGCTTTCTAATTCTTTAATGTGGATGAGTTTAAAGTTAAAGTATAGCCACCATAGTCCCAGAGGACTATAGTCCCAGAGGATTACCCTTTCATTAAAGGAAGCCAATTTGTGGTGAGTTTAACCTGAGGGTCACAACTGCTTAGCTGAAGGGTGAGGTTGAGAATGCAGAACCTTCATCATCACCTTCCATCACAAGCCAGCTCTCCAGTGAACTGACCTAATGCTGATGTGTGACAATCAGCAGTAGATGTTAACTTTTGCTGGAAGGCACTTAACTCTGAGGCTTGGATTGTAACTTTCAGTTACTGGAGCACACATTGTTCATTCAAGAAATTATAGCAATTCAAAGGCTGAATACATAGATGGTGACTGACAGACCAATTGTCATTTGATGAGAGTCTGCAGCATCCAAAGTAGCCTCCGCAAAGAACACATACTGGCCACAGAAAGTTACGATGAGATGATCTTTATCTGGGATTCCTGGCAGGTGAACCAACTTCTGGCAGATACTTGCGTCCAAGAAGGTGTGAGGAGGATGAAGTGATATCCATCTTGAACATTGACTAGACTGTGAGAGAGCGCTTAGTGATTCTAACAGGTGGATAACATGTCCATGCCATTTTTCAGTGGCTGCTTTGAAGGTGATCTCAGCACTCATTCTTTTGAGCTGAACATGTCATGGGAAGCCTTACTTGAGACAGGGTGTCTTTATCTTTTCTGTTTCAATCATGATCAACATTATTCTACATTAAGAAATGTTTGAAGTTTCTCCCTAAACTCTTCACGACCCAAAACATGATGATCTGACACCCCAACACTCCTCAAGGTACCAACCTGATCTTAGAGCCTGACAACTAATGCTCCTGCCCCAAACTGGCCTCTTGCCAGTTCCGTATCCTTGTTGTTGTTTCCCTGGCCAACTCTGCCACTTTCCTATCTGACCTTTCTACTTGCTTACTGCAAAAGCGCAGGAGAGAAAATGGCAAGGGAGAGGAATGGAGAGAAGGAGAAAGCAACTGAAAGGATCTGTGAGAGTAGGAGCTGGCAGAGCAAAGGCAAGTTGGGAAAAGTCTGCTGGGGTGTGGAGGGTTTGGCATAGGAAAAGCCCCTTCAAAATGGCAGCCATTGAATCATGCATTCTCTGCCAACCCCAACATTGCTGAATGATTTCAAACTTTCAAATATTACTCAAATATACAATATAACCCCCTACTTCTACTCAAGAGCATGGTCTCAAATTCTCAACTTACTTTCAAGTAGATGTAGGATGCTAGGTATTTGTAAGAAGCCACTCGTAGTGACTGTCATAGGGAGACTGCAAATCCCAGGAGAGTCCCATCAGTCTCTCACCACAACAGAATTCCTAAAATGGCCAAAACCTGGTTATGCAGAGTCTTTTTTTTTTCAAGTTCCTATCATATTTTGTAAGGAGCCGAATCCCTTGTTTCGTACGCACCAAATGTTGCCTGCTGCCAGGCTGGAACAACGGGAATACTTCCTAACCTAGTTTAGTCAGCAACTGCCACATCTTTCCAGGTTGGCATTTGCCCAGGGGTGGATCCAGGCTGGAGGCAGAAGGGCAGAAAAGCAGAAAATCTGAAGAAAGCATCAGTTTAATTTTAAAGAATACCAGATTGCTGTTCTTGTAAGGGAGATCAAGAGGGTTATGACTTGGAGATGGGATGGTCGTTTGGGCAAGAAAGGAAATTACTTTTTCATTTTAAGTGATCACAGAATCCTTTATCAGAAAAATCAGTGCTTACATTTGATCTCTGTGCTTAGAATATTTACATTTATTTCTTTCAAATACACCCTTTTAATAAAAAGATCCTTTTAATAAATGTGTTGGGTATTCAACCAATGTTCTGTACTGGTGTCATCGAAGTAAATCCTCTCACTGGGTAACATCTAATCTTTTGAGTTTAAATTCTTGCATGTTTTCTGACTGAAAATCAGTCAACATCAGCCTTGCAAAGGTTCCGATTTATTTTCTATTTAAAGTCGCAACCTTGTGTGAAAGGTACTATTTTCATAGCAGTGGATGACTGATTTTTTTTTAACATTGCTTTTCAGGAGGCATCAGAACGTTACAATCGCCGTCTGTCTGAACTTAGTCGTGAAATTCAGGGACTGAATCGGCAAGGTTTTGAGAAAGAGCAAGATGTTTTAGGCCCATTGAAACATGACTGTCTGTTAAACCAGGAACAGATACTAGAAATGGCACAACTAAAAGCTGCTCTTGGTGAAAAGGATAAGATTATTACTGTGAGTATAGCTGCCAATATAGCTGAGTTCCTATAAATAATATTGAACTGTTATTTTTTTTGCTGCACTGACACTGAAGAAATACGAGTATTGGTGTGAGCTGATAACTGTCTGAATTACCTCTTGGGCGGAAGATGTGGTTTAGTTGTTCTAATTATAGCTGTAAAAGGATTGAAACAATTAAAAGCAGACTTCAAGAGTCAGTCATTTAAATGTAATTGTCTAGTAATGTCTTCCAAAATTTAGACAAGATTATTTTTATACTTAGTGGCATCTGTTTTGTAATGGATAGGAAGAAATTCTGATTCTTTATGAAGCATGTCAGAAGCTGTTGAGGAAAAACAGGAACCTAGCAGAACTATTTCTGCCATTTTCCAGAGTGGAGATAGACGTTTTTGGGATTTTCAGGCTCCCAATGGCATTCAAATTTAACTTTCATGCACTTTAAGAAGGCTCATTTTAATGAAAACAGGCTCATGATTACTGAAGATTGATGTTGGGAATCACAATTCTGGCCTTTTCCTTGATAAAGGGAAAAATATGAACCTTTTTTTGCAGTGTTATAGTCAATAAAAACTTGATATGTCATTAATGTGTTCCACAGTGGTTTAATGTTTATGTCTGTGATGTAAGGAAACATTTTTGACACAAATTACAACCTTCTTTGGTAGAAACTAATGGAACATGGCCAAATGAAAGACCAGTATTTTCTGCAGCATGAAGCACCAAACCCATCACATGTTCTGGAGCTGAAGCAAACAATACAAATACTGCAAGAACAACTGCATGAGAGAGAAGGTAGGTTATGACAGGAGAAAGATTGGTCAAAGAAAAGAAACACCGGTTTGGTACTTTAGCTTCTGGTTTAGTGTAATAATGCTGAGTGACTGGACTGTATGAGAGTTTGGTACCTCTGCCCATCAGTACGTTGGAAATTGAGGCAATGCCTGGAAGATTCTGCAGAGAGGGGGTGTGAGAGAACCAAAAGCCTGGGTGTGTTGTGTTCTGACTCTTCTCTCAATTACCAGGTATTATCAATACAATGATCCACGTGCAATTATGGTTGATGTCTTGGGAAGCAAAAACCGGAATCTATTAATGTGTTTCTTTTTCATAAGTGTTTCATGCACCTTTTTGAAATGCCATAACCTGCATTGTCAGCAGCTCAAAGTTTTTACATCTGTGGCCCACCCTTGCCTAGACTTTTATCTTGACCAAGTCCCATTGGTTTGTCATAACTCAGCAAATAGCTTTTGAAATTCCAATCATTTCTCTTCCAATCTGTCCAGTCTTTTCCTTACTTTAGTCATCTCTTCCTGCTTTACAACTACATGATTATCTCAACCTCAAAAACTGTGCTTCTCCTTCTGCCCTTCTAAATCTGTATTAAGTTCTCTTAATATAAAATGTTTAATGCCTTTATGCATTTGATTTGTATTTTTGTTACTTGTTTCGAACATATCCACGTCAGTAGTAGATGGATTTTATTTTATTCTGAGTTCACGATTAAAAACTGAAGATAAGTTGTATTTTGGAGATTTGACTATACAGTGATGTTGATATATGATACAGCCATGGGAGGAGTTTGAGTTCTGTAATTTTAGGAAAAAGATCAAAATTGAATACGGTAGAACCAAGATTTCAAATCTATTTGAGCAAACCTCACAGCATGCTCCCATCTGGTTGTTTTCAATAATGAATTCAGGTCTTCTTTCTCTTTTATTTTAATTTAGCTGAATTAAGTCAACATGACCCCGCAGAAGATGAGATTCTTGTTAAAATGCCTGGACATGAGAAGAGCTCAACGAGCCTGAGAAAAGAACTTGCTGAAAAAACTGAGGAACTAAACAAGACCTTAAAGAAAGAAAATGAGGCAAAAGTATATATCTGCTGTAGCTAAAATAAGTCCAGGCACAATTGATCATTGAATGCTTTCAAATGAATTCATGTAATTTACTTCCGAGTGAATGCATAATGTTGAGCTTTTGTTAAACCGTTAACTTTGCAGATGGAAGTGGCTCGACTCCAATCTCTGCTTGACAAATTGGAAAAAGACGTACAAACCCAGGCTGCAAATGTCGAGTCGTTGTCCAAAACCGTGCTGGTTAAGGATGAAATTATTAAAGTAAGACTTCTAGGACCACTCTTTCATGCAATTGGGATAAGTTTTATTTGTTCCTGGAATGTCAGCATCACCAGCAAAGCCACCATTTATCACTCTAAACAGATGATGGTCAATATGAAACTAACCATAGTCGCAGAGGACCATAGACTCCTCTCTCATTAGAGATAACTGACGGTGAGTTTAACCTTGGGGTGACCATGCCTAAGGCAAGGGACAAGGTTGAAAAGACAGGACCTTCATGATAACTTCTCCTCTTGCAGGAACTGAATCCGTGCTGTTATTATCATTCGCATCCCATTCCAGCCCTCAGCCAACTGTTCTACTGATCTCCAGTTACCTTAAACAGGCAACGGCCAACTGCTTTCTTAACAACAGCTGTCCCTATAGTGTAGGTATAGACATCTGGGGACAATGCTGAAGTAGTGGTAACGGCAGTGGTCCAATAACCCAGAGCCTCAGGCTAATGCTCTGGGATTGATGCATTCAAATCCCACCATGACAACTGGGTAGAATTTAAATTCAATTCATAAAATCTAGATTTGAAAGCAAGACTCACAATGGTAATCATTGGCAATGATAACTAACCATTGTTGTTGCAAAAAAAATCACTAATGTCATTTAGGAAGGACATCTACCATCCTTACCTGACGTACGTTTGACGTCAGTTCCAGAGCAATATGGTTGACTTTTAATTATTCTCTTAAGTTGGCCCTAACCAGCCTGTCAATTCAAGGCAGCCAGGGATCAGCAATAAATTGCTTGCCTTTCTGGCGACACCCATATCCCATACAAAATTAAATTTAATAAAAACAGTGCTGCTGTGGAGGAATTCCAGGATTTTGATTCTGTAACAGTGAAGGAATTGTGATCTAATTCCAAGTCAAGATAGTATAAAACTTGAAGGGGAACATGCAGCTTTTGGTCTTCCAATGTGTCTGCGCCTTTTGCCCTTTTAGGTGGTTGAGGTTGTGAATTTGGAAGATGATGTTAATGAAGCTATCACTCTGCTGTTAATTGAGGAAGTAAATGTTCAAGGCATGGTAGATGGGGTGCTAATCAGGCAGGCTGTTTTGTCCTGTATTGTGTTGAATTTCTTGTGCATTGTTAGAGCTGCACACTTCAAGACATTTGGAGGAGGATATTCAATTACATTCTTGATTTGTGCCTTGACGATGATGGACAGGCTTTGAGAAGTTGAGAGTTGAGTTATTACCACAGAATTTTAACCTCTGACCTGCTCTTCAAGCCACAATATTAATTTGGCTGGTCCAGGTCACTATCTGGTCAGTGGTTTAAACCCTAATTTATTAGTGGGTGATTCAGTGATGCTAATGCTATTGAATGTCAAAGGGAGATGGTTAGATTCGCTCTTATTCAAAATGGTCTTTCCCTGACATGAATATTACTTTCCAGCTATTAGCCCAAGCTTGAATGTTATCCATATTTTTCTGCATAAGAACATAGACTACTTCTGTATATCTGCGGAGTTGCAAATGGTCCTGTCTTGGAAATGATTGCACAGTTCAGACCCTTTACGATGGAGGGAAGATAACTAGCAAAGCAAATGAAGGTAGTCGGGACCAAAGATGTTATTCTGAGAAACTCCTGCAACAATATTCTGGGACTGAGATGATCGGCCTGAAGCAACCTCAAGCATCTTCTTTTTGTGCTAGGTATGACTGACCAGTGGCAGGTTTTCCACATTCCCATTGACTTCAGTTTTGCCAGGGCTGTTTGATGTCAATGTCAGTCACTCTCTCACCTCACCTCATCTCACCTCACCTTTTGGAATTTGGCTATAATAGGGTCAGAAGCCAAGTGCCTCTGCCTGGTACGCAGGTCATTACAGTGCTGCTTGTTAGCTCTATTAACGATCATATCCAACTTTGCTGGTGATCACAAAGAGGCTGGTGATGCAGGAGGGGACCTGATTGCATTTGTCCTGCTTTTCAGGACAGGACATTGCTAGCCAGTTTTCTACATTGTTGGTACATATTATTAGCTATACTGGAACTGCTTTGGCTAGGGCTGTGGCTAGTTTTGGAACACAAGTCCACAGTACTATTCTGGAATGTCGTCAGTGTCCAATGTTATGACATAATTTGATAGTTTCATGATAATTATTGGGACTATATTGTCTGCAATTTTCAACATTGCAATGGTGTGACATTTCTTAAAAATAACTCAGTTCGATTTAAGGTACTTTGGAATGTCATGAAAGATCCCGTATTTATTTTTTCTATTATTCTTTCATTGGATGTAACCAGCCAGCAAATGTTGTTCATCCATAATTGCCTTTCAACTGAGAGCTTGCTACACCATTTTAGGCAGCTGTTAAGAGTCAACTATAATATTGTCTGTGTGGTCTCGCATATAGGCCTGACTGGATGAGAATGATAAATGCCCTTTCCTAAAGGCATTAATGAAGCAGATGAGTTTTTACAAATATCAAAGATAATTTTCATGGTCACTATTACTATATATTGTATAAAACAGACTTCAAATTCCAGATTCATTATTGAATTTAAATTCTCCCAACTGCTGTGATGGGATTTGAATATATATCTGGGCTGCTTGATTACTAGTCCCATTATGTTACCAGAGTGCCACCCTGTGAAGCAATTTTTAATGCCTTTTATCAAATTTCACTTAATTTCTTTGTTACCATAGGATCTCCAGTCAAGGCTTTCTACTTCTGTGGTACCGGGAACAGAAGATTTTACAGGTGAAGTAGCTGTCCTGAAGGATGGTATCCAGAGACCTGGGCACGCTCCAAGAGAAAGAACTATTATTGGCGAAGACAGCCAGCAGGTTTGTAACAATTTACACAACTATTTTATTTTGGCTTTTATAGTCATGTTTTACTTAAATTCATTTAACTCGTAGATTGAGATGATTGATTTAGTTGTATTATTTTACAGTCCACGCCGACTTTAGAAGATCAGATGTCAGAGGAGCACTTGCGTTGTGCACTAAGAACTGAACAGCAGCTCTACTCGAGACTTATCAAAGCAGTCAAAGAAACGGACAGGTATCGTAGAACCATACAATACAAAAGAGGCCCTTTGGTCTATCGAGTCTGTACCACCAAAAATGTACAATTTCCCACACTAGTCCTACTTTCCCATATGAGGCCCATAGCCTTGAATGTTACAGCAGTTAGAAAACGATGACTGATTTTGTCTTTATTAGGCACGTGGGAATTCTTATCTTAATAAATAAGACCTAAACAAGGAGGATGTTGAAGATTCTCATATTTTTGTCTAAATACTTCATAGTCAAGAAAGTCATTATTTTAGTTTCAATTAAATGCTGCTTTTTTTGATTATATATAGCACTTTTAATGGGACTCATTTAACGTGTTTTTATCTCAATTGGCTTTGTGATAAGTTCTGTTACATAGAAACTTAGAAAGTAGGAACATTCAGCCCTTTGAGCCTGCTGCCATTCATTATGATCATGGCTGATCATCCAACTCAGTACCCTGTTCCTGCTTTCTCCCCATACCTGTTGATTCCTTTAGCTCTAAGAACTATATTTAACTCCTTCCTGAAAACATTCAATGTTTTGGGCCTCAACCGTATTCTGTTGCAGAGAATTTCAGAGGCTCACCATTGTCTGGGTGAATAAATGTCTTCTAAAATGCCTACCCCACTTCCTTCAACTATGACCCCTGGTTCTGGACTCCCCCATTCATTAGGAACATAATTCCTGTCTTTCATCTGTCTAATCCTGATAGAAACCTATAAAATTCTACAAGAGCTCCCTTAATTCTTCTAAGATCCAGAAAATATAATCCTAAAGACAAGGGTGCAGATACACGGGAACACCACCACTTGCAAGTTCCCCTCCAAGCCACTCACCATCACACATTGGACATACGTTACAGTTCCTTCACTATCCCCGGTCAAAATCCTGACATTCCTTTCCTAAGGGAGCAGCACATAGACTGCAGTGATTCAAGAAGGCAGCTCAGCACCATCTTCTCAAGGGCAACTAGGGCCGGGCAATAAATGCTATAAATGCATCCAACAACACCTACATCCCACGAATGAATTAAAAAAAATCCTGTCTCTCTTCATATATCGATCCTGCCATCCCAGGAATGAGTCTGCTAAGTCTTTGTCGTAACCCCTCCACTAACAGAACATTCTTTCTCAGATAAGGAGACTAGAACGGCACACAATACTCAAGTTTTTTTTTTAACCAAGAACCTGTGCAATTGGCTGCTCCTATACTCAGATCCTCTTGCTGTGAAGGCCAGCATGCTATTTGCATCCTGTTAAGTTCCTTGAGCTTTTTTCTTGTTTTCTCCTAATGTGCCTCTTTACCTTAACTGTATGCAGCCACAGCCGCATTCAAGCCTTGCAGATGGAGCTGACAACCATTCAGTTGCTAAGGCAACAGCTTGAGGAAAGCATTCAAATCAATCAAAATCTGCAGAAGAACTTGGAACAACAAATCAAGGAAGCAAAAAAGAAAGAAGGTGGGATGCAAATTATAACATTATAGTGCATTAAGCAGAAAGATTACAAACTATATCTTTAAAAATATAATAAAAGTTTATTAAAAGGCAGCTTTGAGTAATATATTACTTTTTGAATGAATGAAACAGATGCCATTTCGTTTGTGAAAGATTTTCTGTTGTATTTGTAAAATCATGACTGCACAAGTCAACCTGGACAATTGGCAATCTGTCTTTTATTGGACAGCACCACAGTAGTGTTCAAAGCTTGTTAGTCTACATAGTCTGCCAATGTGAACATTCCAGCATGAGTCGTAGATTAGGGTTCACAGACAGGAATCCTGACTGATGTTTATTTTCCCCTTCATACCTAGCCCACAGGCACTCAGGTCAGGTTAATGGTTCACAGCTGCTACTGAGAATAAAAGGAGCAAGAAAGATTTGCCTTTCAAGACTTCTGGATGTTCCAAAGCACTTTATGTGAATGAGCTACCTTTCAGAGTATAGATACTACTGTAGGAAGTGCATCCATTAATTTGCACACAGAAAATCTGTGTTTAGTAAAATTGGCTAAGTCAGTATGTGCCAGAGGTGTCTGGTCTGAATGACTTAGTACTATTCTAGGTGATATCTTTTAACATGGAACAATTAATTAGAGGAGACATGTCCCTGAAAATTATTGTAAAATTTCATTCAGTTTTTTAAAGAGTTTTGTTGGGCAAGAACATTAGGGGCTGTGGCACCAAAGTGGGTGAATGGAGCTAAGATACAGATCAGTTCTGATCTAATCGAATTGTAGAACAGTCTCAAGATGCTGAAAAGCCTACTCTGTTTCTGTGTGCTAAGTATGCACTCTGGATTCTTGTGACAAATTAAAGGCTGCCTTTAAAACATTTGAATTGATCGTTGTACAAAGTGCCAATTTAATATATTTTCTTATTTCACATTATTCCGGAAGTTTGTTTACATTTTAATTTCTGCACTAAGTTATGAACACTTGGTAGTACAGCTTTACAGGTAAACTGGGTTTGTCAGGAAGTTCACAGAAGAATAATTAAATCAAAACTGTCCCTTCCAGCTACTGAATAGTTGGCTAAATATAATTTTTTTTATTTATTTGCCATTGTAAAGTCAACTAATGACTATTGTAATCATTGGGTGGGTAGTAGCTAAATGTTCTCCTAAACATTTTACAACCTAACATTTAGTTGTGTTCTACTGGTCTGTAGAAGCTCTTATTGATATTTTACAACATCATGTGGGTTATGTCACTTTATTAGCCACAATTTTTTTTAAAAATCTGCGTTTATCAATTAATATCCTGTATTTTTTTAAACTACATTATGAAGCAGAATGACCCTTCTAATACTTTACTTTCAGCGTATTATTTCAGACATACAATACATCCAGGTTTTAAAATTGCTGAATTGACATCATCAGTCATAGTGCCCAGTACTGCCTTTTGTAGAGCGAATGCTTAAATCGTTTTTCTAAAATGGTTGTATGGCAGCCCTGGGGATATCTAGATTGGATTGTATCATTATAAATAGTGCAGCCTTCTTTTTGGTATCAATCTGCTGCCTTGAGTTATTATACTAACATTTGGGAAACCTTTCAGCAGAAAGTCCAAATATAGCCTCCCAGTTTATCAAAAGTTGGAATGCACTTTTAGAAACTGCAATTTTTACTCCTTGTTGTCCTCATCCTTTTAAATGCATTGCTTTGAGCTAGCATTGTGTTTTGTCATTTCCATAATTCTAATAAACTGAGATTTTTATTGCTTGTAAGCTTTTTTCCTCTAATCTTCTCAATTTTTGGTGTATCCCTAGGATAACCTCTCATGTTATCAATTTTAAATGTATTGCTGAATCATCAATTATCAAAAGTTCAGGAGCAAAAGTAATTAAGCATTCATGTGAAAATGCTTGAACATGGGAGCTCAGCATGAAGTTGATTGGATGAAATTGTGTGGTCATGTTAATCTGTGAAACCATACTTTTAAAAAATGTTGCAAATGTCTAAACGTTGCGTGCTTGATAAAGATAGCAATGCGCCATTGATTTTGTTGTAAAACTTCCTATGGTCAGTTCTTCTGCTTTCAGCAACAAAATGCAGTTCTGAAAGAGGAACTGAGTATGTATGTATTCATGGTTAAACTAATAATAGATTTTGATTCATTTAGAGAAAACTGATGTTTGAAGGGATATGCTTTTTCTAATATAATAAAACAGGTTTGAAAAAATACATATTGTATGGGTGAGGAGGTATTGTTATATGTGTAGGTGGGTAACAATTTGCAAAGGCACATAAGCAGATTGGAAAACTATGGATGGGTGTTCAATGTGAGGCCGAGAAGGATGAATTGGAATTTTTTTTTGATTCAGATAAAGAGCAAAGGGACTTTGGTATCATAAAGGAGATGTGCATTGCATGAATTAACTTATTGGCTAGTAAGATATTGGCCTTTGTTAAAGGGAAATTTTAAGAAACAAGATGTTGAATTAATATTTCATCTGGGCAGGGCCTTGATCAGACTTCTATCTGAAGTGCTGCTTATGTTTTAGACACATAGCCTCCGGTCATACATATTGGCCTAGGATGCAGTACAATACTAATACCCCAGAATTATACCAGACATTAAAGGGTTAAATAGGGGTTAGGATGTATAAACTTTGTATTCCTTTGAAATTTGAAGTATTTTAAACAAGGAGTTTAAAATTATGCTCTGTGGAATTGGTCCAGGATGTACTAAACAAGATGATGTACTTTTAAAGTTTGAGTTAATCATTTTAGGAATGAAATCAGGAAGCTCTTTTACTTCACAGTACACGGTGAAAGTCTCAAACTGTTTCCTAAAAAGGCTTTGGATTAGTGAGATACCAATATTTTTAAGTTGCACAATTCCCGATTTGTTACATACTTTTCTTCTCAACTCGTAGGAGAAGAACACATAGCTGGAAAGTATTGTATAGAGCACAAGATACTTGAGTGAGAAGGGTTACATAGTTAATTTTGGTTCTGATATCCAGGAATGCCCTGCTGATCTGTCTTCTCATTTCAATACAATATTTAATTGTTTCTTTATAATTACAGATTTCTGCCTGTCCCGCTATTTCCATCCCATGTATTTGACACTCAGTGGTTTAAAAAAAAATCCTAGTACTTGTCAAAAATTTGAACCTCACCATTTTTAACCCATGTCTCTTTCTCCTATTCTCTTAATTTAGTTTTGAGGTAATGTTGATTCTGTCTTCTCATCGTATAGAAGCTCAAATTTTTCCACTCTTTCCATCTAACTCAAACTGCAACACTTTTATGATCAGCATGATGGGCCCTTTGCATTGCCTCTTGCACTTGCATGTATTCCCTGTGCCTTAATGTTCAAACTGGAGCTCAGTACTGAGGGTATGGTCTGCCAAGAGCACTGTACCGTTTTCTGCATTGTCACTTTTTATAAATGGTAATTAGAAATAGTCATATTGCTTATATTTTGACATGTTGTTAAAATTTTATTGCCGCAGACACTGTGTCCAAAGTGGACACGATTGACATTGGAGAGATTGAGGCTCTACGGCACCAATTGGAAGACACTCAGCGCTGGAATGTGTCTCTGCAGTCCCGACTTGGACAGATGCAGGCTAGAGCTGGCGGAGTGGGTGCAGCTAGTGATTCTGGTATACTTTGATTTTTCAGTCAAAATATCTATAGTGTGCATTATCAATAGGTTACTTGTGATCTGGAATAATACATGTTTTGAAATGTATTATCCTGTAGTAAATTTGCTACTATTTTTATAGAGTCAAACAGTCATATAGCACAGAAACAGATGTTTGTTTCTCTTATCCATATAAAGATCAAAGTTAAATTATGGTTTGAAACAATTACAATTAATAAGGCAGCTGCAAGTTTATTTTCTCAAATTTGCAATTGTATTTTTTGTGATTTCTCCGAAGTAAGTGTTGGGCGTGAGTAAATACCATCTATTGGGAGGAGGAAATAACAGTCTTATGAGTCATCTGGATAACTGCCTCTATCTTGTGGAAAAGTGTCATAAATTTCTAGTGACATGGTACAATTTAAATGCAAAGAAATATTGTTGTTTAATATGATTTGCCAGGAATGTATAATTTCTTTTGAGGAAAAAGCATGATACCTTTCAAACACTTAAACAAGTATTAATAAAAAGAAAAACCATAAATGTTAGAAATGCATGGCAGATTAATAATTAATTTTTAGCAGAGAAAAGACTGATGAATAGTTCTGGTGGTAGCTTTCAGCAAAAAGCATGATTTAACTATTTACCTGAAATATGAACCTTTTTCTTTTGAATCATTACTTAGCCGCCATGTAACTTCCATCGTTATGTTTGTTTTGCCGAAGACAATGTGTTACAGTTCTTGAACTGATACATTATAATATAATACGTTGCAAGCTCCCTTCATTGATCTTTGAATGTCTGCTAGGTGACACTTTTACAAGCTATGGAGACCAGACCTCATACCTCAGCATCTGCCTGGGGCAGTTTGATGATTTGGACCAGGAAATAGTAAAACTCTCTTTGCCAGAGCTCAGACAAAAGGTAAAATGCTTTAGTGAAGTCATGTTTTATCCATTCCCAACTCCTCAACTTCCCAACTTGTGTTTTTAATTAGAAGGGAATATTTTATGTTTCATTATCATACATTACTGGTATGCCGCTCATTCTTGTAAAAAAAATCATCTTTTGCCTTTTACATTTATCAGGTGATTGAACTTCAGAAATCTCTAAAAGTGTTGCAAACCAACAGTCAGCAGCTGCAGGAGTCACAGTGCTCCATTCCGGGCTTCAACAGTCAAGATAAAGAAGATGATGTACCAACAATGACTGCTCAATCAGAGGTGAAGAAGTTGCTCTGAAGCAGTGATGAAACAAAATAATGTTCTGTAACTTATTTCTCTACTATTTGAGACTTGAAAATTCTTTGTTACTTTTTGTTTCAGGTCTTCTATAATCCATTTTGCATTCAATACATGGTTTCATTTAAACTTCAGTTTTATATTTGCTGTAGTTTTCATAAGTCCAGTTTTTTTTCTTCAAACTTCATTCTTTTGTCTCATCCCGCTCATGTCTCATATAGCTACTTAATCAAAGGCTAGAAGAATCAATGAAAATGAACAGAGTCCTTCAGGAGCAGCTACACAGCCTTAACCAGATTAAGAAACATGATTTGGTAGGTTATTTTTCAAAAAAAGAATTTCTGTCTTTACTGCTTTTGCTGTTTATATGGTCTGCAGCCACTTGCCAATGCATAGACACAAACAGACTTTGAAAACCTGTCGGAACTTAGCATTTTGATTTTGTTTTGTTAAAGTTTACTATCTGAGCCTTTAATATTCTATTTCATTTTGGATTCTTTCATTGTTAAGTCTTAAATTAATGATGTTTTTAAGCTTACATTTATGAAAATAATTTTTGCATTAACAAATTATTTGCAGAAGTGTGTGTGTGTGTGTGTGTGTGTGTGTGTGTGTGTGTGTGT